TTCCTCTCTCAAACACCTCACAGGAAGTAAATGACTCTAATTCAAGAAGCCAAACAAGATAAAAATAATAATAATTCATATGAAAATGTCCTGGCCTGGCCTGGAGGCTCACACCTGTAACCCTAGCATTCTGAAAAGCTGAGGCAGGAGGATCCCTTGGGCTCAGAAGTTAGAGAGCAGCCCAGGCAAGAGGAAGACCCCACCTCTACTAAAAACATAAAAAATTTGACTGGATGTCCATGGTGAATGTCTCTAGTCCCACCTACTTGGGAGGCTAAGGCAGGAGGATTACTTGAGTCCAGGAGTTTGTGGTTGCACTGAGCTGCAATGATGCCACAGTGTTCTACCTGAGGCAACAGAGGGAGACTCTGTCTCAAAAAATGTAAATAAGTAAAATATACAAAAATGTGCTTTCTTAAAACCCAAGAAATTAAAAGCAGAAAGTAGATGACAAGTTTAAGCCTAAATTGTCAGCAATGGCAACAAATGTAAATAGACTAAATATTCCAGTTGCAAAATAAGATTAGCCTGGATCAGCTCAGTGCCCTTAGCTCAATGGTTAGGGCACCAGCCACATACACCAAGGCAGGAGGGTTCGAACCCAGCCCAGGCCAGCTAAACAACGACAACTGCAACAACAAAAAAAGCTGGGTATTGTAGTGGGTGCCTGTAGTCCCAGCTACTTGGGAGACTGAGGAAAGAGAATCGCTTAAGTCCAAGAGTTTGAGGTTGCTGTGAGCTATGACTCCATCGTACTCTACGGAGGGCGACACAGTGAGACTATCTCAAAAGAAAGAAAAGAAAAGAAAAAAGATTAGCCTGAATTAAAAAACACAAACCACACATGTCCCCACCCTGCAAAATTTCAATTCACCAAAACAATAATTCCAAATCAAAATTCAGAGTATTATGTGGCAATAATTATGTAATTACAAAGAGAAAAAAGAACTAAAACTACCTTCCAATCAATATGAGAGATTTAAGCACAGGAAAGTGCACAGAAAATGCAATCAAGACAAAAAAAAAAAAAAAAAAAAAATCACAGCCTGAACAGCATAGTATAATTAGCACATCTAATCTACAGGACCAATTTCAAACAATTCCTGAAGATATATTTTCAAGTGCACATAGGACATTAACCAGAAATGACCATGGCTCGGCGCCTATAGCTCAACCGGCTAAGGCGCCAGCCACGTACACCTAAGGTGGCGGGTTCGAATCCCCAGCCCGGACCGCCAAACAACAATGACGGCTGCAACCAAAAAATAGCCGGGCGTGGTGGTGGGCACCTGTGGTCCCAGCTACTTGGGAGGCGGAGGCAGGAGACTCGCTTGAGCCCAGGAGTTGGAGGTTGCTGTGAGCTGTAATGCCACGGCACTCTACCCAGGGGGACAGCTAGAGGCTCTGTCTCAAAAAAAAAAAAAAAAAGAAATGACCATATGCGCTATCATAAAGCATGTTTCCACAGATAAAAATAATATCCTTTGACCAAAACACAATTAACCTAGTAATCATTTTTTAAAAAGATAAATGTAACACCCTCAAATATCTGGAAATTAAGCAATATGCAATACTAGAATTTAATTCTTTGCTCATTCTATCACCCCAAATAAATTACAAATAACAATGTGTGGACTGGAATGGTCTATGTATATATTTTCATAATTCATAGACCAGTTATTCATATATAAGTTAGCAATAAAATAATTAACCGGGCATCTCGGTAGGTGCCTGAGTTCTAGCTACCTAGTGGCTGAGGTAGGAGGATCACATGAACCCAAGAGTTTGAGGTTGCTGTGAACTAGGCTGACGCCTCAGCACTCCAGCCTGGGCAACAGAGTGAGACTCTGTCTTTAAAAAAAGAAAGAAAGGAAGAAAAGAAATATATAAATTAGTAAGAGTGAGTCAATTCTAAGTCTTTCTGATTACATTTTAAATCCCTAGACTAAGAGGAAGCCTAGTAAACTATCAGAACCCTTATTTTTGTCACCCACTAGATGACTAACCAACTGGCTGACTTAACTCTATAGCGAAGATACAACTGCCACAGCTGTGTTCTGAATTAATAATCTATCTCAGCTTATAAATCATTTGTTCACAAAAACACCTAAGAATCCAAGAATTAGAATTTTAACTCAACCTTATATGACTAAAGCTTAATTGCCTTCTACATTTAAGTTTCTTAGTTTCATCCACTTTAGACTAAAATATGAGGCCGGTAGTGCCTACAATTCTTTGAGGCTGGCAAAATTAAATATTGTACATAATTAAGTTCAGAAACTCATCCTAGGAAAAATACTGCATACCTCATTCTGGACATCACTATAGTCACCTGGGAAGCTATGCACTGATGCCAGCACCTAGTCCACATTTCAAAGCTATTTTGGAACTCTTTTCCTAGAATGGCCATCAGAGCTGTCACAGTATCACCCCTGATGTCCTGCATGTCATAAAAATGTCTTCCTTTCAGTTATTTACTTTATCTTTACTGGGGGCCAGATCAGGTGAGTAGGGAGGGTGCTACTTGTGTACCAGCAAAAACTCCCTGACAAACAGTGCTGTGTGAGCTGGTGCATTGTCTTGATGCAAGATCCATGAGAGTTGGCCAAGATTTTCAGTTAAGATTTTCCTAACTCTCTCTGATTTTGATACACAATTTGACAAATTTTTGCAATGTTTTTATCAGTTCTGATTGTTACTGGCTCCCCTGACTTCTCTTCATCAGTGGCATTTCTTTTCCCTCAGAAAAATATTTAATCCATCTATGCACTGCCATTTTCCTCATGGCATTTTCCCCATATACTTGGACTAACATGTCCCTGATTTCACTTCCACTTCTGCCAAATTTAAAGACACTTTCTGTTTGTTGCTCTAATTCAAGCTCCAACATTCTCACAACAGCACACTAAAACATGCAACAGTAATAATGAACATTATTCAGAGAGACACCACCAGGTGTTGACATGAACAAAGCTGTGAGACACTAATATACTAAGATTATGAAACTTACTGAGTTGTTTATACAGGGGTGCCAAGTTCACAAATTTAATTGTCAGACCTCATATATGAATGGGTGAATCATCTTAATTCTAAAGATACTACCCTCCCAGATGAACATTTTCTAAATTTCTTCTTTATGCCAAGCACTGTGTTAAATGCAGGCAATACAAAACAGTCTACGACTGGCTTCTCCTCTCACCTCGAGGTGCTTACAATATACAGGTATTGGAGAAATTATACATAAAAACGTTCCTATCTTTGCTGTATTGCAAATACAATCTTTTTTTTTTTTTTTTAGACGGAGCCTCAAACTATTCTCCTGGGTAGAGTGCTGTGGCATCACAGCTCACAGCAACCTCCAACTCCTGGGCTCAAGCGAGTCTCCTGCCTCTGCCTCCCAAGTAGCTGGGACTACAGGTGCCCACCACAACGCCTGGCCATTTTTTGGTTGCAGCCATCATTGTTGTTTGGCAGGCCCGGGCTGGGGATTCGAACCCACCACCTTAGGTGTATGTGGCTGGCGCCTTAGCCGATTAAGCCACAGGTGCCGAGCCTGCAAATACAATCTTAACAACACTAGATTTCAATTATATGTCTGAGTAAGAGAACCCTCTAGTGTCTACAACTGTGTATATGCTTCAACAAATCTCTATTATTCTGAGGACCTAACAGCATCTAGCACATAGTAGTTGGTAAAACAAAAAAAAAGTTTGCTGAATGAATGCTGAAAAAAAGTAACACAAAGCAGCATACCACAAATGAGAAATAACGACAATAAAAAGAATACAACACAGACACTGACCAGTGTATGGGTTTTCTTATCACCTCGCATTTAACTATTAAAACATTATTTTCTGATTGTCAATGCTTCCCCCCCCAAGGAGGAGTCCACAATCCAGCATGACAGACAAACATGTTTTAAATGCCTTCATGGAGGTCTTACAAATTGCAATAAAGGCAGAAATGAGAAAGCACCTCACTCTCCAGAGATCAGGGTCAAGGCTGATCTCCAAAGAAAAGGCTCTCCACAGAGAAATGGACTCTTGAGTCCTTAAAAAGCTGAGTAGAGTTTCATCAGGACAGGGAAGACAACAGTTCAGGCCAAGACACGGTATGATGAGGAATTTCAAGTATTACTGTGAGGTTACAATCCATACAATACATAGGGTAGAGGGGAAAGATACTAATCAGGTTTTGAAGGCCTTTTTGTTTTTGTTTTTTTTTTTGAGATCGAGTCTCACTTTGTCGCCCTCTGTAGAGTGCCAGGGCCTCAAAGCAACCTCAAACTCTTGGGCTCAAGTGATCCTCTTGCCTCAGTTTTTCATTTTTAGCAGAGACGAGGTCTCAACTCAGGCTGATCTCGAACACCTGAGCTCAAGCGATCCACCTACCTCGGCCTCCCAGAGTGCTAGGATCACAGGCATAAACCACAGCGCGCGGCCTTGAGGCCTTTTAGTGCGACCCTCTTGGGTGAGACTGGGATTTTAGTCTGATAGAAAATAGGAATTCCTTTAAATTGCACACCAAAGATTCGATTATAGTGGAACCACGGCGTGGAGAATGGATTATGAAGAGAAACATCGTTTCACTATCATATCACTCCTTCCTGGCGTAGAGCAGCGGCCCCTACCACGTACCCAAATACTAGTGACCACACAGGTCTCTCACCAGTTAAGTCTCTGCACCCTTTTGAGGGTCATACACCACATTCCAACCTGCTTCATCTCTTTTACAAATCAATTCTCTAAAACTTGTTGAACCATCCTTCACAGACACGGCGCTGAAATGTCCATTCGAAAATGTCGTTCTGCTACTCCACCATTTCGCCTGCTAGCCTTTAGCTCTGTCACGTTCCTGGCCCGCTATGTTGCCTACTCGTACACACAGGTGTCTCCAGCTTGAGTCCGGGCCCTCAAGTTCCAGAGCCACCCGTCCCACGCAGCCCTCAGCCTCCAAGGCCACCACCTTCTCCCCTCGAACGCACCTCCCCCTCCACGTACCCCCTCCGTCTTCATGTCCAGGATCTTCTCCACCTCGAACACATCCTCCCCGTCTTCCTCGCTGTCTCCACCGGCCTCCGTTCCTCTCGTGACTGCGTCCTTCTCAACCGCTAGGCCAACTCCTTCTTCGACTTCGGGACACTCATCAGTGCTATAGGAACCTGACAGAGGAACTGCGGTCACACCGACTCCCTCCGCCACTGGCTCCATCGTGTAAAATCAGCAACCAGCCGCAGAAAAGAGGCTACGACACACACACCCGGCCCGCTCCTAGCGTTCCGCGCTCAGCCTTAATCCACTTCGGCGTCGTGACGAAAATCGGCCTATGACGAGCTGCGTACTTCGGAGTGCCACTTGCGGGAACCAATCACGTAAAGGCAGGCGCGCAGCTCCCCCGCCGAGGGGGGAGGGGCGCCCAGGCGGAAGAACGCTATCCGGGGGTGGGGCGGAAAGGTTGCAGGGGGCGGGTAGCAGTGGGCAGGGCTGCGAGCCCTGGGACCGTGGAGGCGGGTGCTGTCCGGTATAATGGCGGGAGGAGGAGGGCGGCGCGGGGAGGAGAATGAGTGAAAGAGGGGAGGGAGAGGAAGGCTGTAATGTCAGCTCCCGATGGTCCTTATCCCACACCCCAAAAAGACATGGAACCAAAAAAATCTAGAGTATTATGACATGGATTATGGAACACCCTGATGCTGAGGGTCCATGCTTAGACGGTAACTTTGGGGATTTACCGGCCGAGCCTCAGACCTCATCAGGACTGGGCAGCCACGAGAAACTCCTTTCTGACAGTCTCCCAAGGGGACATAGGGAGGCAACTCCTCTCAAGCCCTCATCCTTTTGTGTTTCAGGGGGTCACAAAGGTTCACAATAGCTGTTGTCCACGCTGTGTGGCCTATGGTGATAGCACAGGGTGCCCCGGGACCATGGTGGAGTGGTTCCCCTACAGAGTTACTAAGTTATTCAGGTTTTTAACAACTTGTTCTAATTTTTTTCTTTTTCTTTCTTTTTGGCCCGGGCCTGGTTTGAACCCGCCACCTCCAGTATATGGGGCGGATGCCCTACTCCTTTGAGCCTCAGGCACCACCCACAACTTTGTTCTAATTTTGATAATTTACATATTTTCCCAGAAAACTGTTCATTTCTTTCAGATTTTGAAATTCATGGGTATAAAGTTGTATGTGTATGGAATTCTCTCATAATTCTTTTATTCACATCCATGTATGTATTTCCCCTTTCTTCATTTCTGAGGTCTGTTTGTGTTTCTTTAATTCTTCCCTCCACAGGTTTGCCAAGGGATTTTCTACTTTTTTGGAGTTCACACGCTTTTTTTACTTAGCAATCTATTTCTGTCTTACCTTTTCCTTTGTTTTTTAAGTTCATTAATTTGTTTTATCTTCGTTATTCCTTCTTGTTAATTTCTTTAGGTGTGTTCTGTTGATCTTTTGCTAGACCCCAATAACTCTCAGATAAATTCTTGGTTAATTTATTTTTATCGTTTCAAAGTTAGAATCACGCAGTTGGCCACCAACTCTCCACTATCCTTGTCATCTATTCTAGGCCTAAAGAATAGGGAGCTAGAGTTACAAAAAGCCTGCTTCTTCAAGGTGTGAACAAGGCTCTCCTCATCTTGTACTTGGACTCCTCTTAGACTAGTCTGGGCCTCAGAGTAGCTCTTCCCAATCCACCCTCCTAACAGGGAAACTGAAATACAAGACTCCGGGGGCAGGAATAACACACAGGTAAGTCTGCAAACTCCTTTTCTCTTAATAAAAAAAATAACAACAACCAAAAAAATCTTAAGTAGGACCAAATTTTCTTTACTTTTTTTTTTTTTTTTTTTGAGACAGTCTCACTTTGTCGCCCTCCATAGAGTGCAGTAACATCATAGCTCACAGCAACCTCACACTTTTGGGCTCAAGCAAGTCTCTTGTCTCAGTCTCCCCAGTAGCTGGGACTACAGGCGCCGGCCACAATGCCTGGCTATTCTTCCTTGCAACTGTCATTGTTGTTTAGCAGGCCCGACCAGCTAGAACCACCAGCCTCAGTGTATGTTGCCAGTGCCCTACTCACTGAGCTACAGATGCCAAGCCAGGACCAAATTTTGTATATGAGGGACTCTCAGTCCTATATGACTACTTCATGTTTTAAGAGCATCTGAAGTTTTTTCCCCTCTAGACCAGCTGCAAGCCTAAAGTTGCCAGAAATCCCACAACAGGACTTTCAAGCTGCCTCCTTATACCTGACAGTGGGCACAGGAATAACCTACTCATAGGAAGATTTAAGGAGGAAAGACCAGTATCAGGCTAACTTGGAAGCCTTCAAGATCTTAGAGGTACAACAGTGGCAGGAACAATTTGGTGTTTTATTATGGATTCCAATCTTCTCTTTTCTTGGCTGACTTCTTCATTTTGTGGAGCTCATCCTCTAGGACTGGGTTTTTCAACTTTAGCATGGTTGGAATTTGGGGCTGGATAATTCTTTTTTGTGTGGCATTTTACCTGCCCTTGTCAAAGAAAAGCAAGATCCCAGTTACAGCAAAGACAGGAGGGATTTATAAGCAAGGAGGTACCGGGCATGAGTGGATGAAAAATCACTAAGAGGAAAATCAGGGGTAGAGGGAGATTCTGATGAAACTGATTTGACAGGATTCTTGACCAGGGAAAGCTAGATTAATCAGATATCAACTGGGAGATGGTGGAGGATGAGGAATTGCTTTTTGTAAAGACTGGACGTCACCGAGTTGCCCAGGCAGGTCTCAAACTCCTGGCCTCAAGTGATCCTCCTGCCTCAGCCTCCCAAAATATTGGGATTACAAGTGTAAACCACTACAGCTGGCCCAAATAAATTGATCAAATATCTAGAATGATTGGATATCAAGAGTGTAGGATTCTTTTTTTTTTTTAATTGAGATAGAATCTCACTCTGTTGCGGAGTAGAGTGCTATGACATCATAGTTCACAGCAACCTCAAACTCTTGGGCTTAGCAGTCCTCTTGCTTCAGCTTCCCGAGTACTTGGGACTACAGGCGCCCACCACATGTTGGCTAATTTTTCTATTTATCATAGAGACGGGGTCTCCCTCTTGCTCAGGCTAATCTTGGACTCCTGAGGTCAAGCAATTCACCTGCCTCGGCCTCCCAGAGTGCCAGGATTACAGGCACTAAGAGGAAACATCAGGGGTAGAGGAAGATTCTGATGAAACTGATTTGACAGGATTCTTGACCAGGGAAAGCCAGATTAATCAGATATCAACTGGGAGATGGTGGAGGATGAGGAATTACTTTTTGTAGAGACCGGATGTCACTGCGTTGCCCAGGCAGGTCTCAAACTCCTGGCCTCAAGTGATCCGCCTGCCCCTCTCCCTAAGGGGCAGATTTCCGTTGTCCTCTGACTTGGAGTGGTAGTAGGAATAGAAGTTTTGATGATAGGTTGGGGTCACAAAGAGAAAAGATTTGTACCACAGCTTGTTATGGCAGCAGAGACAGTATTAGGCAGACAGACAACAGGGGCATCAATGAACACAAACCTTCTTACTGGGAAATTACACACACACAAGCCCAGAGAAGATGCATTAACAGAAAAGGTTTGAAAAAGCCCCTAAATCTCTAGTTGGGTTGATTGGTGAAGGTCTTCTCCTATACGAAGCCAATCTGAAATGCCTAAAGCTTTAAAAAGATCACAAAGCATACAAAAAAGCATAGAAAAGTGGCCCAATAAAAGGAACAAAGTAAGTCTCTAGAAACTGAGCCTAAAGAAATGAAGACCTGGCTCGGCGCCTATAGCTCAACCGGCTAAGGCGCCAGCCACCTACACCTAAGGTGGCGGGTTTGAATCCCCAGCCTGGACCCGCCAAAACAACAATAGCCAAAAAATAGCCGAGCGTTGTGGCAGGCGCCTGTGGTCCCAGCTACTTGGGAGGCGGAGGCAGGAGACTCGCTTGAGCCCAGGAATTGGAGGTTGCTGTGAGCTGTAATGCCACGGCACTCTACCCAGGGGGACAGCTTGAGGCTCTGTCTCAAAAAAAAAAAAAAAAAGAAAGAAAGAAATGAAGACCTATGAATTATGAAAAATTAAAAATCTTTTGACTAAGATCAAGTGTAAAAATAACCATCTTAAAGATGCCCAATGAATGCTAGGCACATTATAGGCTCATGCTGTAATCCAAGCACTCTGGGAGACTCAGTCGTGTCAGGAATTCAAAACCAGCCTGAACAAGAGTGAGACCCCATCTCTAATAAAAATAGAAAAACTTTAAAAAAGGTAAAACTAGGCAGGCATTGTGGTGGGTACCTATAGCTCCAGCTAGTCAAGAGGCCGAGGCAGAGGATCACTTGCGCTCAAGAGTTTGAGGTTTCTATAAGCTATGATGGCATGGCACTGTACCCAGGGTGACAGAGTAAGACTTTGTCTAAAAAGATAAAGAAAATAGGCCAGGCATGATGTCTCACACCTGTAACCCCAGCACTCTGGTGTAGAGGACGCCAAGAGACAAATGACCTCTAAGCAAGATGATTTACAGCTGACAGGTGGACTCTCCGGCGACTTGTCCACAGGTGCTCCTTGTGGAGAAGGAGCCCGTGCTCTCAGCACGTAGTCATTGTTAATTACTCCCCTCACTTGTATTATTCCATTTCAGTAAAAGGCTGGTGTGTAGGGGCTACCCAGAAAGTAAGGGCTAGCCCGCCTTCCACAAACTTGTACTTCTAATCCACCTCTCGCCTGGTTCCTTCCGAGACCAGGGCCATAGGAGCCCGATGGGTCGCGACACTCTGGGAGGCCATAGTTGGTAGATTGCTTGGGCTTATGAGTTTAAGACCAGCGTAAGCGAGAGTGGTGGCTACTATAAATAACTGGGTGTTGTGGTGGACGCCTATATTCCCAGCTACTGGGGAAGCTGAGGCAAGAGAATCACTTGAGCCCAAGGGTTTGAGGTTGCTGTGAGCTATGATGTCAAGGCACACAATCACAGGGTGACTGAGTGTCTCAAAAAAAAAAAAAAGGCTTGGCACTCATAGCACAGTGGTTATGGAGTCAGCCACAGGCTGTTGGGTTCAAACCCAGCCCGTGCCAGCTAAACAACAATGACAACTGCAACAAAAACTAGCTGTGGGGCGGCGCCTATTGCTCAGTGGGTAGGGCGCCTGCCCCCTATACAGAGGGCCTATACAGAGGGTGGCGGGTTCAAACCTGGCCCTGGCCAAACTGATAAAAAAAAAAAAAAAAACTAGCTGGGCGCCTATAGTCCCAGCTACTTGGGAGACTGAGGCAAGAGAATCACTTAAGCCCAAGAGTTTGAGGTTGCTTTG